CCTTAAATCCTCAACCTGATTGCCCCGAATCAGTCTCAGGTGTGCAGGACTGCAGCAGGGCGATGGCTCCGCCCAGGGGTGGAGACCAAGGAACTCAGGTGCCTGATAGCACTTTCCAGTCGAGTCTCCAGATCCTGACACCTGATTCTTTATTACACCGTAACAATGTGGCAAGTTGGTGCAGGTGAAAAGCAAATGTTAAAAGTTGCTATACCAGGAATTTAACCAAGAACTAATAGTTCAGTTCCCAATGCTGTTGGCTTTTGTGCCCATGTGAGATACACTGTAACCAATTAGCTATCTGGTTACTCCCAGAGTTTATTTTTAACATTACAGTTAATGAGTCTCCCTATATTAATGCAAGGATGGTCATCAACACACCGCCACTCTACATTCATGGTGTCAGACACGTGGCTACTCGAGAAAGCCATCGTCTATCATTGTTCATCATCATTGCTAACAACTTAGGCTTAGGGGAAACTTAGGTTTGTTACAAAAAATCAGACACAGGCTCCAGATGTAGATATAAAATGTATTGTAACATTTGTAAAATGTATTTACACTTGTTAAATATTATATATGTCATTTTCTGACAAACATTACATTAAAAGAAGAAGAATCTGCATGGGTTGCATTGAACTCTCTGGCATCTTTTCAGTGATAATGTTTTTGCACACAAACATTAAAATAATCACATCTGAATACATGTCATAAGCGAGGCTGATAAAAAAATAATAAAATAAAAACAGTGCTGCACAAAAACACGGTAAAAAGTGAAAGCTGTCAGTAGAAAGCAATGGTGACTTATTTGAAAGTGGCACAATGTAAAATGTCAGTTACCGTGAAGAAGTTAATGAAAGAGTGAAGCAAGTCAGGAGGTAAAAGACACAGACAGGAGATGAAAGAGTGCTGATAGGCAGACTGACATCGCAAGAAATGCAGCAAGAGGGATGACGAAAGCAGAGCTGAAGTCAGACACACACGGCGGATTGAAGAGCGCTAAGAAGGGAATTTGATTTTTGTCAGCCTCTTTTGACTTCAAACTTCAACTGACTGCAGCGTGAAGACAAATGTCAGAGTGCAGAAGTTGTGAAATCGATGCCAGAGTTTTTTCTGTCTTAATTATAATTCTAGCATATAGTGAAAGTACTTCACTTCGCCAGACTCGGAGTTAACAGAGAAAAGCCAAATGGGAGTATACTAAATGAACCCTAAGAACAAATGCTTTAGTTTAAATTAAATACCTAATTCTGGCAGTGGGTGTGTGGGATTGTAGCTTAAGGGGGGGGGGGGGGGTAATACTGGGAATAATAAGTTGTTGGACATGAACTGTGACGGCCTATTATTATTTTTAATTGAATATAGCCAACAGAGACATGCTGCCGTATTGACATGAGCCATAATTTCAAAACATAATTACGACATATTTTGTGAAGTCACTGCAGTCACATTTGTAACTCTTTTTACTAATTTCTAATTGGATCGTACTCTTCATAAGTTTTTTTTCTCACCGCTGGAAAGTGGAAGTGCAGACTGTGGACTAATGGAACAGTAAAAAAGTTCTTAATGTGATGATCAGCTTCATAAGAGTCATGCACGAACGTGACCTACTTTTCATGAGCAATGTCAGAGACTGTATATAAAAGGAGGAGGTAGCTATGGTGGCATCACCCTCTGGTTTAAATGTGTTATGATCAGCAACATCCTGGACTTTTTAGAGCCAGAAGTGACCATATCAGCCAAGTGTAGCGAGCTTTATAGTGTTCCATATAACTTGTACACAGGTTAGTGATTCATATTAGGTGGTGGGGGGACGTCTAGCTGAAGACACCAGCTATAGCTATCTGTATCAGGAGTTAACTGCCAGTCAACACAGCCACACCTCTGTGAATTGAAACTTTACAACTGGATTGGTTATATATGTAATTTATAGGGGTGCAACAATACTCATATCGATATTGAACC